GGTGTATCCTATAGCACCCTCGATGCTGCACAAAGCCTTATATGAGGTGCTTACCTATTACACACTCGACGCTGCACAAAGCCTTACACGAGGTGTATCCTATAACACGCTCGATGCTACACAAAGCCTTATACGAGGTGTATCCTATAGCACCCTCGATGCTGCACAAAGCCTTATATGAGGTGCTTACCTATTACACACTCGACGCTGCACAAAGCCTTACACGAGGTGTATCCTATAACACACTCGATGCTGCACAAAGCCTTACACGAGGTGTTACCTAAATACCTTACGATAAAATTTATCTCAAAAATACAAATTACATTAGAAAAACTCAAATTCCTTTTTGACTCTACTCTATTTTGACTCTGTATAGATTAGAACAATAGAGAAAGCATTTGAGTGTACGAGAATATATTTGTATTTGTTACATTTTATGTACTGCATCATAAGGTATTGAAAGTATAGTGGACCTGGACATTGGGTGGAGAGGAACGTGATATAAAGTATAAGGTAACATGTTTACACATTAAACAAACAATTCCGTGCTCTATAGTATTTCTTTACAAGATGGACCCTATTTTGAAACCGTCAACTAATTTGAACTCGACAACGTTTCCACGTCAATATGGTCAACACGTAGTCTTTAGAAATATAACAATAATCGCGACTTTTTCCTATAGAGATATGTTAATAATTATTTTCTTTAAGATTTATTTTCTTTATATATCGCAAACTATTCAACTGCCCTTGTACAAGTAGTTTCATCATCAGCAGCATATGCTACTACGATTCGTGAGGTTATTAAAAGGATTTCGATGCGTGAGATATGAACTAACCTTTACGATATTCAAACGTCAAATCACGATCCTGTAGGCACATTCACCAGCGCACTACCCTAGGCAAGAGATCCTCTTATAATTTTCAGGGCGTTGCAGTTAGTTACTACCCTAAAATGTTTTCCGATGAGATGACGATGTTGCAATGCCTTGACAACAGCAAGTATCTCGAGCTCAGGAGTAGTACCTTGGATCTGCACATATTGTAAAGCTACTGCGTGTATGCGTCCGTCTTTTCCTATTTGAATTAGTACCGTAACCTAGTGCAAATGCATCTGTATGGACTTCAGTCCGTAAATGGTCAAAGATAAGCAACGCGGATTGACTAGCCAATATAAAGATGAACTCATCTCTCTAGGTTCTATTCTTTTCCCAGTTAAAATTTCAAGAGGCAATTTGGGTGTATCACGGGATATACCGCCTAAGATAGCCGACTAGTATCACTAAATACTGCACAAACCGTGTCAGCTCTCCTTACATCTTATTGTTTGCATTTGATCAGTTCATGAACATGAACGAGGACTACTTGTAGAGACTTTCCTACTCTAACACCGCTTTAATCTTATTTACTTAATCACCCGATTGATTGCGTATTTAATATTTAGATTTTAATGATTTAGTACTAATTCGCAGTTTGTATTCACACATTTGAACTTAAAATGTAGAGTTACCACAAGGGTTCAAAAGAGCAACAGACTTAGTCTTCCTCATTCGTTCCTTATACGATAAGATAGTTCACGCGGAAGATTCAAAAATAAGTATTACTTGATGAATGAATGAAGTGCTCAAATTGAAATTTGTTTGAACGAAGAATCCATCATTTCTATTTGTATACGCTCGGCCTGACCTGACTCTTACAAATAGTTCCAGTCTCCTAGGATACACAACCTCAGGAGTGAGGTAATTACGCTTAGCGGAAATTAATTGTAAACCTGAATTTTCACACGCATGCTTAATTTATAACCGTAAAATAATTTATATGGTCGATTCGGTAATTAACCGTCGTACCTACATAACGCTACTTCGTTAACAAGTAGTCTAATGTGTATCTCTATACGGTATTGACCATAGCTGTGACTGAACCACTAAAAATTATTCAGAATGTTTATTCATTAAGACTACAAATTTTCTTTTTCATCACCACGATACGGTGTATTTATCAATTGAAGTCTCGCTATCGATTCACTACGCGCTATATCATTTTCAAAGAGCGGTTTCTAAAAATACGCTAAAAGTCGTTATTTCATATACGCAATGTCTTTTCAATATTAAAAATATCATTACTAATGAGTACCGACGTCTTTAAGATAATCACAAGGTACTAAGAAGTTACTTCTTGTGAGATGTTATGAATTTTGCAGATTAAGTAAGAAAGTAATCAAAGCGCATATCCGTTTCGTCTAAACAGCATAATATGTGCACCTTACAACACGAAAACCATCATTTGATTTAAAAGAAGTTGTTGAACTACTATCGTACTAAACATTTGTGGGTATAATCAGACCGCATATCCGTTTCGTCTAAACAGCATAATATGTGCATCTTACAACACGAAGACGATCATTTGATTTAAAAGAAGTTGTTGAACCACTATCGTACTAAACATTTGTGGGTATAATCAGACCGCATATTACGGCGCGATAATTTCGTAAATGTGCATTATCACTAGTAAGTCACGGCGAAAACTTGCGTTAGCCTAATTCAGATTATTTCTTTGTAAAGTAAGCGTATTCAGTATGACCTATATTCTTACAAAACGCATATGCGATTTTGTCCGTAGGTTATTTTTCAAAAGAACTAAATTTACTTCTATACTACCCGACTATATTGCAACTATAGCACCGTATTTGAGAATCTACTTCTATACTACGTAGTTTGCTATCATATATGACCAAGTATGATCATCACTAACTCACTCACGTTACTACGCACTTGCTTCACCTTTTAACAACAAAACTGACACCGTCTGTCGGTTCACTGAATGACCACGATCTACTTCATCGCAACTACTCGTCAATGTTGCGCATACTTAAAAGTATGAAATATAAAAATGGAAAGATCTCACCAGATTCATGACATTAAACGTCGATAAGACGTTTCGTAATGTCTGTTGAGGTAGCAACCGATCGCGCCACCGCACCAGGTGCGCTCGTTGGCGCCGCGTTGGCGGGTCTGGCTGGCGCGCCGACTGTCTGCGCGGGCGGCGACAGCGCGGCGGGGCCGGTGCCGGCGCAGGCACGTCGTCAGCATCTACGTCGGCAGCTATATGCGAACCCCTGTTTCGCTGAGCTACCCGCACGTTGTTCCAGCGACACCAATTGTTGAGACTTGCGTCCATTAACGCTCCTAGTTCACCTATATTTGATAGGTGGAGAACGGAGACGCGTGCTCTCGTAACGATGGGCGTTTTCTACTCGACATGTAATCAATCCTTAGTCAAAAATGTTATTCGCGACCAAAAATGGCCTCGAATCCCACTTCTGATGTTAGGAGAATCCTCTAAATTTAATTAAATAAAAGAAACTTATAACAAATCGTATAATTAATTTTAACAAAATCAGTAAAAGAACTTATAAAGCAAACACGGTATGATACGGAGATTCGTTCGAGAGCACGTCTATCGACCAAAAGAGGCCGCACACCGGGTTTCGCAGCCTTTTATAGACACGCCGCACGACGGTGGCGCCACCACAGGAAGTTACACCTAACAATATATAAATTTCCTTCTATTATTACTCTTCTTAAATCTTCATCGTCTAAGACATGAATATTATCAATGTCTTCTATTTAACATGCTAATTAGCTAACTTCATCTTATATATAAAATTCTCGTGTCACAATGTTAATTACCATACTCCTCCCAAACGGCTTGATCTATTTTTATGAAATTTTATATGCATATTCATTAGATCTGAGAATCGGCTACTATCTATTTTTCATACCCCTAAGTGATAAGGGTTGTTCACCCCTAACATAATTTTTTTATTTTTTGGGCAAATTTTTTTATTTATATTTTTTTATAGTGTTATTAAAAAATACATACAACCCTAAATTTTCACCCTTCTATCACCAACCCCTCTCTTTTATAGCATTATTAATTTATATGGCAAAACGATGTTTGCCGGGACAGCTAGTATTACTAGAAAATATTATTAAATAACGATGCAGCACATTTTTTAGCATCTGGATGTTAAACAATTTGGACTTTGACTCTTTTACAGTTTTGTTTAATATTTATATTTATTCTTTACGTATATTTTAATTTAATTTAAAAAAAATATACAATCTCTATTATTATAACTAATTTTTATTATATTTAATATTCCATTATTTAAAAATAATTTGAATGAAATATAGATCGATATATAATCGAACTTTTCATTTATAAAGTCCGGAACGAATAGACAAAAGTATCCACATTCGGTTGCCGGACTCCACAATTTATGGTTATCGAAGTCGTGTCGGAGATATCTTGGCAGCTAACGGATGAGCCCGGAGCAAACGGGCACATACATTATTTTTATGTTCACTTCAGAATTAATTCCAATTTATAATTATTTGCATAGCCCTGTGACCTATATTCAATTATGTAGACATAGAGAGCTTTTATCTTATGTCTAAAATAATAAATAGCCAGTAACAGTAAAATTGGAAATATTACTTTATAATTTAACAAATTATTATAAAATTTATTGATTTATATATTTTTTATTACCAAAGTATATATAAGTCACCAAAATGGATCCTACAATTGTCCGTAGTAAATTATTTTTTGCATGAAGACATTATTGATGGTTAATATAAGATATGTACATTTTTATAAGGTACAGGTATAATATCTAGTAAATTTTACTCTTTTCTTTTCTTAAATAAATAAATATTAATAAACATTTCCCAAAGATCCCAAAGAATTAATGCAAATATTTCAAACAAAGCCGCGAGATATCAGATTACTTCTGCGATACAGCAATGACAATGGAACCATTCTTTAACTTGTCTATTTCATTTCAACATTCAGCATCCACATACGTACGAAAGTTTAAAATATTATGCAATCGAATATAAATGACAGCAAAACGGAAAATAGTATTTACATAACATGTCAACTTCTTTAGCTGAAGCTTCTATTCATATTTAAACTATATATGTATTATACTACAACTACAAAAGTTTTAATTTGCTGAAATAATATAAAAACAATATGAATATTTTATGTGGTTACCCAAAAACTGAAGTAGTAAGTAGTAGTAGATCTTTGTATTAATTTTGCTGCAGGTTTAAAGAGTAGGTAATATGAACACTTTAGGTATTAGTGCCTAGGAATGGCAACGCACGAATATACGTACCTACTCTATATTTTACAGTAGACAATTTCAAAATACCTAATGACTACTAATAGTAATAGTCATATGATACTAGTGTCCTCCACTCTCAAGATATAAGAAGAGAATATACGAATATTAAACATTTTTTTTTGTCTTTATTACACATGATATAGGTATTGATATTATAACTTTGTGTTTTATATTTATAACATATTTTTCTTTATCTAGGTTCTAATTACAATATATGATCATAAATAAATTTATTAATATGTTGAAAATTAGTTTAACATTCCTTATTAAATACATACTTAATCTATGTATTTATGCAATCCAAAACTAGTATGCATTGTGTGTATTTTATAATGTATCAATTCTGTAATAAATATTAAGGTACATAAACACATTAACATAAATAATATATACAAAAATCCCTTAAAATCATCCAGGCCTAAAGGTTCGGGATTTTGGACAACAGGTGAATTATCATGAATATTAAATTTTAATATATTAGTATATTCATTATCCTTATTAGATTTCACAATAAATCCAACTTCAAATATTTTTTGGATGAGTTTACTAATTCTTGGTGCAGCTGGCCAGCCAGGTCTCATATAATAATAAGTATATATCGTAAAATTTGATACACCAATGTATTGAAAATTTGCTCTGATATTTAAATCAACTGACATTTTATCTGCTAGCATAATAAATTTATGTCCCTTCGCAATCCTTTTTAGGCAGTTATAACTTTCATCTCGATCAAAGCCTTTATAATTATTTTCTATTCTAGTGCCTTTAAACACATTCTTAAACATTAGTCCTCCTCCATAACCCTCAACTTGGTTTATCGCGTAGTCCATTGATGTCCATGGCGGCTCTAATGGTGTGTTCTGTAAGTCGCTTGTCAAATTTCCTTGTAGCACCAGGCGTAATACAATGCAAAAATATATCCACATAATAAAAAGACTATTAACTATAGCAGATTTGGTTTCAAATTTAGCTTCATGTCCTATAAAAATCGAATAAGAATTAATAAGAATATTGTTTTTTGCCTTAATGTCAAGTATATTACATCTTGAAATTACTGTTGTTACCACAACAAATATAAAAAATGTTACGCAGAAGCATAATGAAATATAATTGTTAAAAAAAATATGTAACATTTTAGCCCACGTTTCAATTTTTCTTTGGGGTGGTCCAATCCAATAAATCTTTAAAATTTTGTATGCGAATGATGATTGTGCTAATTGATATCTTTCCAAGTTTAATAATGTAGCGGGTACACTTATATCACTTCTGTTTTCTAATAAATTTAAAAAGAATTGACTATTAGACGTAGTTTCTACATTTAAATTTAATGATGCAGGTAAAAACTCCAAACTGGCGTTCAGCATATAACTTAAAAGTAAAGGTATTGGAGCTTCTAATCCAGTGACTGTCTTAATCGTTCCATTTACTATATCAGCTTCATATTTAATATATGGGTCATAATAAATTAAAGTAAATCTAATGGGGCACCCTTGAAAATTTTTAAATTTATTTGTTAGAGACAGTTTTATATCTGTTATATTGTTTAACAACACGGGGACGGTATTTCCGCAGATTCCGTTGCTATATGGGAAATATGTGGACACTCTTCCTTTATTTTCTTTCATACTCAATACAAAAATATCAGTAATACCATATTTCCAAGCCATATTCATGATTTCGATTAATTTCGTTTCTTCATACATTATTACCAATATTATTCGTATAGATACAACCATAATTTCGTAAATTAGTGTAAGGTAGATTTGAAATTCATTCGGCTTCGATATGAAAATCACAGCTTGTTTGTAGTCAAGAATAAGTTTCACTTCTCGGATATTGCTGTCATTTTTCAATTGTGCACTATATGTGACTCCTTGAAATTTAGATAAAAACATTGTGACGTCATCGCAGTTATTCTGACACCAAACTACTGCTGTTACACTATTATTATAGAAAATTGAATGTGCAATATCAACAGCCATATCTATTAAAATTTTGCCTTTTACATCTGTTAATAATACTAAGTGAGAAATAAGTAATATTTTAAAGGCGCTCATTATTATTACTTAATAAAACTTAGAATGTAGCACCGACTGTGATATTACAAAGAGTGTACAAAGCAACTATGCATTAAAGATCATTACATTATTTGAACAATAACAAATTGTGACTGAGGTGATTAATTATTATTTCTTATGACACTATATTGATATTATATATTATATGTAAATACATATGTAGGTAGAAGTTATAATTCAAATTCAAATAATACCTTTTTACTTCATACACTTGTAATTCAAAATAAATTAGATGTCTATGATGTGAATAATTTAACGTTGAACTTAGATTTCTTTAGCTGAATTGGACAAGATATTGACTAAAATAAAATTGAGTTTAGGAGTAATTTTAATCGCAATAGTTTATGCATGTAACGGTAATACATAAGTACATCTTATACGGGACTTTTTTTATATTAGTAAGATATAGTGAATCTGACATTATAATGTAATATCCTTATATTTTTTATGTGATTGGAATAGCATAAAATATGACGGCTCACCTTATGGCAACACGTAACTGTCGCCTATATACTATATGTACATAATTCTTTATGTATGTATATCTAAGTAAGTATATGCGACAGCAACATGAAGTAATGTCCGTAATGCTAGCATTACGACAACATATTGACATGTTACACCCTTGATACCATTCATGCATTGCCATTCGAGTGGATTAGGATTTTAGGCCTCTTATGCTATTATTTCACTGCGTATTTTGCACCCCATAACTGAAACATAGCTTACAAAGTTGCTTGGCAGCTGAAAAAAATTGAGACTGAGGTAGGTGCATGCATTTTACAGTCTATCTTTAAATATAAGTATATGTAGTATTACTACTACTAATAAAATGTATGCTTTAAACAAAACACACAAATATAATATCAGTCCATGTGGCGTGATAGGAAAATAATAGTATCGGAAAATCCTTGAGTATTATAATTTATTATCCATATAGCTATTTCACAATTTAACATAGATCGTGCGTATTTTATAATATGATACTTCAATAATAAATATCAAGGAACATAAACACATTAAGATTAATAATATGTACAAAAATCCCTTTAAATCATCCAGACCTAATGGCTGAGGATCTTCCATTCCAGTTGAGTTATCATAATAATTTAGTTTTAACATATTAGTATGTTGATTATCTTTAGTAGCTTTTACAATGAGTCCGACTTCAAATATCTTTTGAATGAGACTATTAATTCTTTTTGCAGCTGGCCAACGAGGTCTTATATAATAACAAGCAAAAAAATTTATATTCGGAGGACCAATGTATTGAACTTCTGCGCCAATATTTATTATATTGACCACTACTTTATCTGCTATTAAAATAAATCTTTGTCCTTTCGAAATTTTTTCCAGGTAGTCATAAGTATCTAGTAATTCAATCTCTGTGTAATCATTTTCAAGCCACGTGCCTTTAACGATGTTTTTAAACATTTTCCCACCTCCATAACCATCTACTTGTTTTATCGCATATTCCATTGTTGTCCATGGAGTTTCCAATAAAGTGTTTTGTAAGTCACTTGTCAAATTTCCTTGCAGAACCAAGCGCAGTATTATACAGAACCAAACCCACATAATAAAAAGACTATTAACTAAAGCTGATTTAGTTTCGAATTTAGTTTCTCGTCCTATGAAAATGGAGTATGAATGAATAAGAACATTACCTTTTTGTTTAATATTAAATGAATTACATTGTATAATTAATTTTATAATCACAACAAAAATAAAAAATGTTCCGCAGAAAAATAATGACACTGAGTTATCAAACAAGGAATGCAATATTTTAGCCCAAGTCTCAATTTTTTTTCGCGGTGGCCCAACCCAATAAAACTTTAAATTTCTATATGCAAAGGACATTTGGGCTATTTGATAAGAATCTAATTCCAGCATTACGGCAGGTACTATTATGTCACTTTTATTCTGTAATATTTGCAAAAAGTGTTGAGAAGTTTTAGGTGCTACATATGAACGAAGACTCGAAGGCAAAAACTCCAAAGTAGCATTCAGTATGTAACTAAGAAAATAAGGTATTTGTGCATCTAAACCAGTAACGGAAAAGATTCTATTATTTATTTCATCATACTCGAATTCAGTGTATGGCCCATAGTCTATTAAAGTAAATCTAATAGGGCATCCTTGAAAACTTTTAAATTTATTTGTAAGAGCAATTATAATATCTGTTATATTGTTCAATAATACAGGGAATATATTTCCACAAATTCCATTGCCATATGGAAAATATGTAAATATACTACTTTTGTTGTCTTTTTTTTTTTTTTATACTACTATGGTGGCAAACAAGCATACGGCCCATCTGATGGTAAATGGTTACCGTAGCCTATGGACGCCTGAAGCACCAGGGGTGTCACGTGCGCGTTGCCGACCCTTAAGAAACCTTAATATACCCTTCTTGAAAAACCCCATGCTGTAGTCTCGTGAGAAAACCTCGGCAGGAAGTTCATTCCACAATCTAAGTGTACGCGGGAGGAAGCTCCTCTGAAACCGCACTGTCCGAGACCACTTAGGTTCCAGCGTGTGGGAATGAATTCCCTGTCGATGGCGAGCGGTGCGATGGTGAAAGGTGGCCGTAGGTATCATGTCGAACAATTCCTCAGAACACAGTCCGTTGTATAATCGGTAGAACACACAAAGCGAAGCGAAGTCTCGCCTCAAACTAAGTGGCTCGATACCGTCAGAGAGATTGGGATCATCGACAATTCTCATAGCACGTCTCTGAACCGAGTCAAAAGGACCGAGCTGGTATCCAGGTGCTCCTGCCCAAAGATGAGAGCAGTACTCCATGTGCGGCCGAACTTGAGACTTATATAAGAGGAGTCTCTGGTCCGCAGTGAAATACCGCTTCGCTCTATTGAGCACACCGAGTTTTTTGGACGCCAGCTTAACCTTTTCTTCGAGGTGACTACGGAACTCAACTGTGCTAGAGATGTCGATACCGAGAATCCCAATACTCTTAGAGATGGTAATGGACGTGTTCTGGAATTGCGGAGCCACAGCAAAAGGGGTTTTCTTAGCGGTGAACGCGCAGGCTTGTGTCTTGGTAGGGTTGAATTGAACTAAGTTCAGTCGCCCCCAATCGGAGACTCTGGTAAGAGTACTCTCGATTTCAGACACAAGCTGTTCGCGGTTTGCCTCCACAACGGAAAGAGGGATATTAGCACGGCCCGTGTAAAATGCGTCCCCAGTACTGTCATCCGCATAACAATGAATGTTAACTGTAGTTAACAAATCATTGATATGCAGCAAAAACAATGTCGAGGAGAGAACGGAGCCTTGCGGGACGCCAGCGTTAATGTCCATGCTATCGGAGCAACTACCGTCGACTACGGTTTTGATGCATCTGCCAGACAAAAAACTAGCGACCCATTTGCATAATCCCTCTAGTATACCGTACGATCTTTCATACACAACACAAAAACATCAGTGATGCCGTAGTTCCAAGCGATATTCATTATTTCAGTTAATTTAGTTTCTTCATACGTAGTTACCAATATTACCCGTATAGACACAATCATAACGTCGTAAATTAATTTGAGGTAGATTTCAAATTCATTTGATTTCGATATGAAAAGTACTAATTGTTTATAATCAAGAGTAATTTTCATCTCACGTATACTACTGTCAGCATTTAATGGAGCATTGTATGTGACTCCTCTAAATTTAGTTAAAAAGATTGTAATATCATCGCAATTATTCTGATACCAGACTACTGCTGTGACAGTGTTGTTATAGAAAATCGAATGTGCAACATCAACAGCCATGTCCGCTACATTCGTTTCCTTTGTATCTCTTAATAACGTTAAAGAAAACAAAAACAATAGTTTATATGTAGCCATGTTTTATACTAATAAAACTGAATATGTGATAGTCTGGCTGTGATAGTTGAAAGAGTGTGCAACGTACTTACTCATTGGAAAGATAATAATATTATTCGATCAATAAAGAAATAATCGCTAAAGTAATGAATTACTGTTTGACATGACAATATGATGATACGTAAATATGTGTGTAGATATAATGATAGAAATTAAATTAACCCATTGCTAATTCCATACACCTGAAGTTCGAAATTAATTAAATTTAAACTATCCTATGTGGCACTTAAATCATAGTTTGGTAAGTAATTTACAAATCTTACTTATCTTTTATATACTACTTATAATAATTTTAATGAAACAGTAAAATATATATAGTTTGTACAAGCTACATTATATACTGCAACTTTCGAGATACTCCATCTTAAGAATGGGAATGCCTGAAGAGGTCCGCATATACGTGCAATATATATAAGTGAAGTTCCTATGAATGACAATATCATAGTTTTTCATCTTTATTGACAACCAGCTATGGATTCCGAGTGAATGTAGGCAAAACATATACTTATTATATATTATCTAGAATATCTATCAAATCTGGCAACAGCCGCCTTAACTATAATATACCTTATAGTTAACCTATAGGATCATTATTCCTGTTAGATCAAGGGCCCATCGGCTTGAGTGCTATTCGCAGTAAATATTTATTATCAAAAACTTGTTAGCGTTTTTTTTTTACTGGATTAATTATTAAATGTTATAATTTTTAGTGTCTTCTTAAAGAACTAAGCTAGAGATACTAGCAATAAAAACAAACTAGGATATTTTGCAAATCATTTTTATTAAGAATTATATTTTAAGCGTGTGGTAAGTGGTGATATTTATATAAAATCTATTAATTTCAGGGTGCTAAACACTAGTACATTGTAAGTTATTATTCACATCGTATCCTTTCACCGGCTACAATTACAATACAAAACTAATAATTAAGTATTATAACTTGGTGGTTTGTGCTTAGAATTCATTTTACTACGCTAAAGATTATTAGTTAAGCAAATTATTTATATTGTA